CTGCGTCAGAAGAAGGGTAATGTCTTGCTGTGAGCGGGTCCGCTACATGTTAAAGACCCATTCAATGCACATGACTTCCACAAGTAGACAACACAATAATCTCTAAGTAATACACAAATAAGGCAAATAATTCTATTACTACACAATAATTGAAAAATTAAGCGAATAAAATAAAAAAGCAAAACATAATTAAAAACATAACAAACACACACTAACATATAAATTAGGACTTTATGTGAATTGTTATTATGTATATAAGAACAATTCACACAAAATACACACAAAATACATTTAGAGTTAAAGCTTATATAATTTTTTAAATATTTAAATATATCATTCACTACATCACGCCAATACAATTTACTACACCACTTCCCACTTATTTGTGAAACATAGCAACATTTACCGTGAACACTAGGCATGAAGTGATACGTAACAATCAAATGGGAATTAAGTATACACAGAAGTCCAAAATCAAACCGAGTATGAAGAAAATATGCATATCTAAAAATGAAAATATATAAAGCCTTTAAAATATAACAGAAACAAACACAAATATTTTTGTATATACGATAACTACAGAATAGTAAAGCATCTAAAAATAAGTAAAAGCACAAAAAAAGTAAGCAAATACACAAAAATAGCTTACATTGTCCATTCCGATAGAGACGGCTACTTAGGAGTTCCCAAAAACCTTGTTAAAATCTCTCTCCGATTGTATGCGATGACGATCCTTTCCTTGCTCCTGGCGTGCGTAAACTCTGCCACCGCGTGTCCATACATATCTCCAGTTCATGCGGCTGGCTACCTCGCGCGCCTTCTGGAAAAGCTGGCGATTGTACCTAGATAGGCGCTCGTTGATGTAAAAAGATCTCGTTGCGCCGGGCAAGCCCATGCCCTCAGTTGAGAGGCGACGACGTACCCGTGCGGCCTCCAGGAGCCCGTCACGCGTGTGACTACGAGCCAAACGCACGGCCAGTGGCCGCGGTCTCGGCGCTTCGCCATCTAAAAAAGCACGCGGTGCGCCCACTCTCTCTGCAGATACCACATCGCGGTCCTCGAGTTGCACACCAAGCTTTCTTGCTATAGTAAGAACGGCGTGAACCGAATTCTCGTTGCCCACTTCAGGAAAACCTGCTATCTCAACGTCATTTACGAGCATTTCCTGGTCTTTTCCCTGTATGTCCATCCTTAGTTGCAAGATGGTGTCTTCTAAATCTGACACATTACACTTCTGGGTCTCATTAAGTTTGCTTTCTAGCATTTGAATTTTATTTTCTAGCTGTTCTATACGCATATTTTGTGCTTTGATTGTGGTGGTGAGCTCTAACACCGTCTCTCGAAACATACTCATTTCTACCCGAGTCGATTTCATCTCATCTGCGAACAGTTTCAGTTCCGCCATGATGTCACCGGCGATAACTTTTTTGCCATCTACGTCCTCTATCAATTTTAAATTAAACTCAAGGTTGTTTTCCTCTGTCTCATCCTCAACACGCTGACAGGGCTTGGGTCGTACAGTGACATTTTGGGTGTTATGTTGGTTCGCAGAGGCCTTTTCTGTAGTATGGTGTCCGAGATCATCCTGAAAAGTTAAACGAACGGGGGTATTATCGTTTCCCATTTTTGGCGCTTTGCTCTGGCATTCGGGGCATTTCCAACTGTCCTTACGTTGCTTTTCTAATGCATAAAAAGCATAAAATCTTTTACTGCTAACATTTGCACACTCTAAATCATAAGCTGCTTTACAAAATGCACAACGCAAATATTCCCTTTTCGGTAATAATTTCGTGCATCCCGCACATTTATCTAATATAGAGTTCTGAGACATAGTTCAACAATAAAGTTAATTAAAGCAATTCGAAAGTACAAGTAGCGCCCTCTCTTGACAAGTAGCAGCGGGGAATCAGCCTATTAAAGTATTTTGCTTTAAATAGTTCTTCTATTCGATCATAGATGGCGCTTTAAACAATTTTTTTTAAAACCATTAACAGCAGATTTCTGAATCTCAATTGTTTTTAGGTTATAACAATTTATCTTTTACTGTCCTTTGATGTTGACGCTAATGAGTGAATGAAAATCACTGTCCACGTTCCAGACACTATGTGAAACTATCACCCTCCCAGTTAAAATGATCGATTCTAAACAAAAACAGGTCACTTCACCGCCGAATGTTTCTAACGAATATCTGTCTTGTTACTTCACGTATTTCGCCACCTTCTCTTATCACGCACAATTATCACACAATACACATAAAACAACACGATAAATTAACTTTCTTTCAATTTAGCGCATAAAAATTAAATAACAACTACAGAGCAATGTTTGTCGTTACGCAGTGGCGCCACCTTCTTTTATTCGATTTTGAATTTTGTTTTTTTATTTTTTTTTATAATATCAAGTGACGGGACGAACAAGTCGTGCACCTGATGGCCTGTGCATAACAGTTACAGTGTCCTCAGATCTTTAAATCGCAAAGATCTGAGGGGCCACTGCCACTGCTCCTGTCACCCTGATACATAAGTTGACAAACGTGCCTGTAATTTTACTCTTCGAAACTGAAATACAGAAACGCTGACATTAATGCTTAACGGCAGAAATAGGTAAGGTGGCAATACTAACCTGGACGACAATCTCAAAGTGCAAGCACGTCTTTATTTTGTTTTTGGTTCATGCTTTTACTAAAAGTATTGAAACATTGTTTGCGACTACTTGTGGGTTTCTTTACACTTCGAAAGAAACCGGGATTATGGACATAGCGTAAATTGCCGTTCTCTTGACGATCACAAATCAAGCCACATAGACGGCAGTATAATCGCTGGAACGAAACCAATAATATCACATACTTTATGGGCTATATTTCCGGCCGAAATCGCCTAACGTGTACACAGAACCTATTTTGAACTATTAAATCACAATTAGAAATCGTCTAACACAGTCTAATCACCATTTTTGTCTTTAGACCATTGTATTTAGTTGCCGGAATAACTACGACCTATTTCGGTTGTAATTTGAGCTATTAACTAACAAACTCAAAGTCAAAGTCAAAGATTATTTATTCCATAGGTAAAATAAATTTACACTTAAAAACGTCACTTTTAAGCTACTGCTCGTTCACTACGCTGACTTCCCTAAGAAGAACGAGCAAGAAACTCTAGGGATTGCTCTTTTCAAATAAACTTAAATGCTATGGAATACACTTTGAATCAAATTTGTGTGGATTCTGGAGCCGTGTCGTCTTTCCACACATCTTTATCTAACACGTAATCTTCAATTTTGAAATATGAATTTTCAATTAAAATACCATTGATGTACGTTTTAAACTTAGGAAATGATAATTTTAATATATGCTCCAGAATCTTTTTGTAAAAACGTATATAGTTCCCCATAAAATAGCCGTTTACCTTGGTTAAACGAAATCGTGGTACCATGAGTTTGGACTTAGCTCTAAAGTTAATATTATGGAGAGTGCCTTCTTTATTAATGAAATTATGTATACTTTTACGGACATACAAAATATTTGAGAAAATGTACTGTGATGCCACAGTCATGATACCAGTCTCCTTAAAGTTTTCTCTGAGAGAAATCCGACAGATAACTTAAACGGTACACAGAACGAATCTGTCTGATAAATCTGAATCTGTCTCTTTACTCCACATGAGAATCCCATAGGATATTAAACTATGGAAGTAACTAAAGTAAACTAATGTAGCTGTTCCAACATCGGTAAGCTCACGTATTCTGCGAATTGCGTACGCAGCAGATTAATCTGCTGGCTATGGAAGGTAGATGTGGAAACCATTGAAATTTACTATTACATGGGCAAGGTCTAAACTTTTCTCCATTTATTTCAATGCTCGGACTAATCTATTTTACGTTAGCTAATTCAAATATACACACTTTGTCTTTTTGGCATTGAGCAATAAATTGTTTGTATTAAACCAATAAATTATCTTTGAGAGGGTATCGTTTAATATTGCGTATAATATATTTTTGAATTCTCCGCCTAAAGCGTATTACAGTTTGTTATTGAATAAACGGTGTTATTAATATATCTGTGTTATGACATAGACAAAGAATAACACAAGGAATTCCCGTATTATGTTTATGTACTCCGTGTGGTATTCTTTGAATTTATGAAAGACGAAATTTCCTTTTGTTTAGACATTTTAATTCCGGTTAATATTTTGAGTAAGTTTATTTTTAATTTCGTTGAATTCTTGTTCGACGAAATTGAAAATAAATGAATTTGTGCTGGATTTTGGGCTGTTACTGTAATTGTTTATTTCCCTTTGTTGGCTGTCTTATTGCTAGTTTTACTACCAGTAGTAACATGGGCAATAAATATTTTTTCGTATTTCTCGCCTACGGGCGCAGTAGCTAGGTAAGAAGGTTTTACTATCTTGTTTGCCACAGTTATTTATATTTATAGTCTTAGTAGGAGATCGATTGCTTCTCAGTTGACCTACTTTAATTTCTTAGTTGCATTAATTTGTAGTATTATGTAGTGTACGAATATTATTGCACGTTCTATTTACTTCAGTAGCAGTAGATTTCATTGTGAAAAGATCGTCCAGAGAAGTAATTATTTCTGTCTCAGGGAGCCGGGCGCAGTAGCAGTCCTCAGCAGATCTTTACGATTTAAAGCTTTGAGTTACGCTGCGACTTTTGATTTGTTCATCCAGTTACTTCCACCAGACACAAAATAGTTATCACAGATACTTACACTTAATAAGAGCGTAAAAGACGTTGAGCGTTTCGCGTTGACGTTCCGGGCGGAAGCGAATTGGGTTAAGCCGATTACGCGTTAACAAGTGTAATAACTTCCTCAATTACCCGTCCGCGTGCGCACTCACACAGTCACTCATTTATCCACACGCATTTACAGCCCTCCTCATTCACTTACACGTCGATGTATGGATGTTTTTAGCTTTGTTTTTAACTTAATTAGCCTTGAGTTGTGGTGGTAGAGGAACTAGAAGCACGAAAGGTATGCTATCACACAAAGGAGAATGATGAAGTATAACAATAAGTTACAACAAAAGACCCTAAGAGTGTTGAGTGATGTGGTGCAAATTAAAGTGTACTGTGTAGGTGAAGATAGGAGAAGCTCGAAGCCGGGTACACGGCCTACGCCCTCCAAGGTTGGAGACCGAGGGCGGAGGTGCAGAGCCGGATCGCAGCGGGTTCGGCGCGGAGGCTGCACCGACAGCGGCGGTAGTTCAGCAGTGGATTTTATCACTTTGTAGCTGGAGTTCTACTTCGTCTTGAGCGTCGGCTTCAGTCACTCCTGCCGCTCCAAACTCGCTTGGTGAAGGTGAGGAAGTAGGAGGAGCGTGAACGTAAAGACCAGGTTTAGCGTGAGGCAGTCGAGGAACTGGTCAACAGCCCAGGTGTAAGGCTTCGAAAAGGTGAGGAGAGAGAGATAATATGTCTCTCCGGAAAGCGACGGGATCGACTCTGTCAAACCATTACTACCTGAACTTCCCTGGACGAACAATGTCACAATGAGCTCTAAAACTGACTCCAGATATTTTTTTTATAATAATGCGCACATACTCATATAATGCCCCACACTAGCCGCTCATGCGATGCGCTCCTCCTACCGCAAAATGGCGGCTATTTGGTTTCGCAAAATACAAAAGCATTCAGTTTAAATACAAGTTTTTATAAATAAAAATTATTATTCTGCATTGCTAAATAAATACCCTCCGTACTACCAACAAAAACATCTCAAATAAAATGCAGTAATACATCGCAAATCCTGCATTTAAAAAGCACTAATGAAATTTTTGGTGTACTTGGATAAATATGATAATATTCCGTTTGAGTGGTACTAACGTTTACCATGAAATTACTCCTTAAAGTATATTTTATAAACATTTATATTCAGGGTAAATTTAAAAAGTGCTACTTACGGTATGTTTTCAATAAATACCGAAATCACCAGCCCAAACAGTAACACACACGATTATCGTGACGTATTTTTGAAGTTGTTTATTTTTTTTTAAATTACAGACCCAGACATTAAAAACTTTATGGTTTGCTGGAGTAGTTACCGAAATAGCAACTAATATTAGTTCTATTACCTGTTATAACTTCGATATCCGATAAATCGGTATAAAATCATCACCGGCACCTCTAGTTGTGGTATACGTCTACGGCTGCATGTATCGCGTGAGCGGCTAGGCAAACCTTGTTTAAATTATTTTTTTACAAACGCAATTAAAGCCTTTGACAAATGTATATCGTATATGTTACGGGTTCTATTTAACTAAATAGACACTTGATACTTAAAAAGAATCATTGGTATATGTGAAGTACCTATTGAATACATTCTTGTAAAATTTCGGGGTAAGTTTGTGTTTTCACACCATATAGTAATCAGTGCATATAACTTTACTACATATTTTTTTCAAAGTATTTGATTCAACACTTTCGCTGTCACGCGGAATCAATTAAAGCCATTCGAAGTAGTATAGACTCTTTTAAAATTATTTTCAGTAAATTGTAATTATTTTTCACAGTTCACGTAACTGTCGTATTCGTTTACCATGCCTAAAAGAAGTCTTAGTAAACCGAAATTTGTTCCACAATACGTATTGCTTAAGATTCCATTCTATA